AAACTTCCACATTCACATCATCAACAGCAGCAACCGAACAACGAAACCACATACGTCAATGCCTAAAGGAAAGCTCAGACTCCGTCCCACCCAATAAAACATGCCACAACAGTTTGCCCAGAATGTCTGGTGCACACTGACAGAATAACGATGCAAAAGTCAAAACTGTTTCAGTCAAATTGTCTATTTCTTAAATTTGAAATTAAGCTACATTATTGATCGTTCAAGAATTTGAGATTTTCGCACATTTCGCATAAAAAACCGCTTTGAAAAATCAATCATAAATCCGTTTGTGCTCAATCGTGATGTTTATATTAAACGAATACAATATAGTTTTGGGAAAAATAGACGGCGACAGTTATATCTCAGTGCTCTTATTTCTATATCGACTCGGCTATCAATGCCTGTCCCCAGCGCAGGGCAGAAATTGTAAAATATTTGATTTGTGCTTATTTAATTTGGGGCAATATTCGAACACGACGCACTTGCCAAAGGCAGCTCCGGGATGAAACCACAGCCGCACATATCCTCCTCACTGATTGCGATAAGATAGCCTGTCCAAAGGCAAAACCCCTGGCCACTTTTGTACCACCCACTCACCTGAATGCCCTGTGAAGATTGTGAGCACTGTCGGCCTACACTTGGACGTCATCATTGACGACTGATTGAGTCACTATACTTTGGGCGTGGGGTCAACATAAGGCGCATGGCAGGTGGGCAAGGTGGGTATGACAGCACCGCAAGTGGCGCATCACCCTCATGGAGGCGGCCATGTTCATGTTCAATTAGTGAAACGGTATTGCACTTTGTTCGTATAAAATGCCTGCGAGTCTAATTAATTACGACACGATGCTAAAACCAGCTGCATCTGTGCCAATCCCGATTTGATCAGAGTTGAATCCGTGGCTGTCGTCTTGACTAACCTTCGATTTCAATGGCTGCTGCTAGCTAGGCAACATGTTTTGGCCATGTCAGTAGACTGTTTGACGCTTGTTAGGCATAATGCACACAGAAAAAGTACTCTGATTCAGTGCTCAGTGTTATTGACTTTTTAAGTTATTCTTCAGCTTATGACTTTAAAAAAACACACAGCAAAGCTATTGCATTAACATTATTAATTTTATTGGTAGAGGCATACTTAAAAATTACGTCGTTAAGCTTGTTTTCTAATTCCAAGTCGAACTGCATTTAAGGTTGAAAATGTTAAATTTGATGATTATACCCCTTATAAAAATGTGAAATTCGGTTTACCCTTATTTTCCCCTGAAACGACAGTATTGTTCCTATAACTAAGCCAATAATGGTCCAAATATGAAAAATCATACCTCGTTGAGCTTGTTTTCTAATTCCTAGTCGATTTGCATTTAAGGTGTATAATATCAAATTTTTGCCAAGTTCTGCAAATTTTGATGATTAAAATGTCATACATCGTTAAGTTTGTTTTCTAATACCCTTCAAGGTTGAAAATGTAAAATTGATGCAATTTTTCCCAAAACAGACGAGAAACTTATTAGACTTATTAAGACTTAAGGTTTCGAGTTTATAAGTTGGCTAGCTTATCATAATCATAAGGCTGGTGGGGCAATCGAAAATGCAACCCATAGCCTGTGCTAAATGTATGTGGAAAACCATGGAAAAGTAGAAAATTGTTGCAGCCCATTTGCATATTGAATTACATTCATTGTTCATGTTGGCGTGCGTTAAGTCCGTGTAGCAACCCCTGCGCTCCGTGCACCCCTTAGGACACAAAATTGACAACCCCATCGCGGCATTCAGCCTTATCACATGTGTCGAGTTTCAGCATGGCATGAAGGCTGGGAAAGAGTTGTCATTGTCCTACTCGCAACTCCTTTACTTATTTAATTCTTTTGCATTTTTTTTTTTTATGCTTTTGAGTGACATTGACAATACTGGCAATTGGCAGCCGCCGCATGCTAACGGAATGACATGAAATATTCAGTTATGCCAACAAAAGGTAATCAAGTTCTCTGGCCACCCTACAAAATATGAATCGTCTTGTTAGAAATAAAAAGAAAAGAACCCTGTAGTCGAGTGCCGCGACTACCAGATACCCGTTACTGTGGTATGAAATTTTGTTTTATATATTCTATATACATTATATGTATATATTTCGTTTTTCTAGTGCTGTTTGTTTTTATAACTGTATAAGACATGTTCTTGAACCGCCTATGACTTTACAATTATTAAATTATTTATTAATAACTTATTGAGATCTCAGCGTTAGATCAGAGACAAACAGACGGACATTACTAAATCGCAGGCATTGAACCCAATCAAGAATGCTTCGACGGTTGATTATAAAGGATTCTACATTTACAATTATATACTTGATATACTACAAAGTTCAGCTATTTCTATCAGTTAACACTTTAAGCGTCAAACAAGAAAGATGGTCTTCTTTTTCATTCATTTTTCAGCCCCAACTTTGCACGACTCTGAATACATCAAATTTTGCTTCTAATTTCCTGGTGTGCTAATTACGACACTTTACCAATGAAGAAAATCTTAAAACAATTAGGATCCAATCTACAAGTTGTTAAGGTGGACATTGCCACTCAACTTTTTTGTTCAACGACAACTTGAACTGAAAAGCCAAACAGCAGTCAGAACGGGATAAACCGCCAGTACATGTTCTGGTCTGACTTAATCAATTTGTCCAAAAAGCATTACAGGGATTTAATTTAAAAGTTTGCTACACTTGGCTGGCTGAAACAGCCGCAGAACAAAATAAGAGCATGGGGGCGTTGGGCACTTAAAGCACATGCAGCAAATGAACATTTTTAACTCAATATAGAAAACGATTCTGTGAATGAGTTGCAGCTGAGTGAATCTTTGTGCCCGGCGTCCGTTTTCCGTTCTCTATCCTTGCAAAAATGGATATTACAATTCCGTAACATTTGAGCATGTGCACGTGTATCCTAAATCTGGTAGAATACTTCTCTTTAGGTTATCTCGAACAACAATTTCCAAGTAATGTAATCGATTTTAAGCTGTACAAAATCTTAGAGTATTGTACGTCGGCACAGCGGTCCCCATATTACAACCATTTTTTTATTTGAGGTGCAGCTGGAGAACACACTGTAGTGCTGCAACTGTGAGAAGTTTTGGGAAAGAGCACATTAATTAGAAGCTGCCACGCTCGGCAGACACTCAACCAGGTGCCCAAAAAAGTTGCTAACGTGCAACATGCCTTTGGGGTAGGGATCTACAGAAGTTTTTAGGTTTGCGTTGCATTCGAGTTTGACTTGAAGTTAAAGTTTATTTTTATATACATACTCGTACTTACACTAAACGAAATAAGTCTTTATTAAGTCAACTGGACTTATTAAAAGAATATTAGGAAAATTATTGAAATCCTTTTTCTTTCCTTTTTGTCCTTCTTGGGACATTTCATAATTAAATGTATTATATTTATTGTTTTTATTTTAGAGTTGGTAAATTCGAACTTTTTTTCATCCGTTTAATTGCCTCTAAGAGTTCTTTTTAATTAGGACCATACGTTGCACTTAAAGCAGCTCGAGAATGTTACATTCGGGAAGGTCGGTAAGCAAGTAGCAAGCGAATCAGCGGAAAATGCATTTCAGCCAGCATCATTAGCATCCTTAAAGCGTAACATTTAATTTTCGCTAAAAGGGCCTGTTGTGAAGAGTGAAAATCATACATTTAAAAGAGATGTCTAAAGGTGAGGAAAGGTAAATTGAGGGCTGAGGGTTCAGCGCGCCGAGTTATAAATAACGTAATCTTCATGCACTTATTTCAAATGTGGCGGACGGGCGTGTCTCTGTTGCGTCTCATTTAGCGCACGTAGTCAAATAATGACCGAAATTATACTTTTCGCTGATGGCCAAAGAGGTGTATACATAATGCAAGGGCCGTAGTGGACGAAATGGAGGGAAAAGTAAACTGCGTGCGTATTGTAAATAAAATAAAATATAATGTAACGAAACGAAATGTTTTATCAACGTGCCTGTGCGCACTAAGCACTGGATACACTGCACAAAAAAGTGTCGAATAAATATTTTTATTTATATTCCCCACATTAGGTTTATGTTGGGCAACATATCCAAAGTGCTTTTGAGTAAAGTAAATCGTTTGTTCATAATTAACCGTAACAAAATCATTTCCCAATATAAATTATCATTTACTTAAAGCTAAGTGATATCTAAATTTGTACCTGTGTAACTACCGACTCCCCGCGCCATTTTTCCAACCACTGACAGATGGCCCGCTGACCATAGTGGCGGCTGCGGCGTGCTAGGCTGTTCTAGATGAGGACTGAGGCTTTGTCTCCCTTGCTGATTATCGCTCCTGGTCCATGTGGTACTTGTTCTTGTAATTGTTTTGCTTTGTCGTAAATAGAGAGCAAAACAGGAAGATAGATTGCAATTGCTACAGGCCATTACCTGGATGAAGTGAGAGGGGAGGGCGTACAAATTTCTTGTCATTAAATTAAAAATAAACGACAATATTTTATGCGCCCATAAATATGCAGCAAAGCGCTTGTATCGCAAACGGAAAGTGAGCAGATGTTGTAATTTATTTATGCGATTCCTGGTTGTAGTTACATCTTTTAATGTCTTCTTTATGCAGGCCATCGGCTCCGGGTCCGTCTGCTGCACAGGTGTGTGTCGGGAAAAAGGTAAAGTTGCCTTTACCGGACAATGAAGAATTTACGAGTATATCTGTTGCAAGCCGGAACAGCATTTAAGAAACTCGTAAATTATGATCAGAAATTGGCTAATAAAATTCATATCTTGCATATGAATCAAACTGCTAGTTTTAACCGTTCTAAATGAACTGAAATCGTGTTTATGTGTTTAAAGTATACTCAAACTGAAGAAGGAGTTGGAATTAGACATTGGAATAAACAATAGAAGTGCATTTTAAGATTTGAAAACAAAAAATTGGACTTTTAATAAACGTAAAAGAATAAAATCGGGACCTGCTATATATTTGACTTCAAAATAAACATCAATAAATATATATATAAATAAATATATTTCTCAAGGGCTCTTACAGTTAAGTTTTAAACCTACTCCGTTGCCATCAGAACTATCAGCTCCTATTTCAAGTTTGGTGTGTTTAAAAGGCTTCTCCTCGGGCTCCAATTCACGGCGCAATTCCTTGGACTCGTTCCACGGCTGGGTTAGGGCAGAGCCCCAAATCAAGAAAATAACATTTCCGGCAAATAAAACCCCTGCAGCCATACCGAAAACCACCTGCCACTGGCTCCGCTGACTTGGGTCCGTTACCAGAAGACCCACCACAAGAGGCGTAAGTAGAGCCATCAGATTGGTGAAGCTGCTCATAAGGCCAGCTAGAATACCCGCGTGGTTTGGTGATAAATCAATCGTATTCAGCTCGCTGCCAATCGTGGCTGCACTACTCACGCCCACACTAAGAGTTACTAAGACAAGGACCAAGGACTTCTGCCCTTCCCCCACAAACACAAGGGTCAGCATTATGGAAGCCGGAGCCCAAAGAGCTATGCTCGTGTAGGTCTTTCTCAGCGCTGTCAAGCTCATCCACTTTTTATGAAGCAGTACATCGGCAATGATCAGGTAAACGTAGCACATTACCCACATGAGTAGGAAGGGAAGGGCTGAGTAAATAGCATTACTTTTCATGTCCAGTTTCAGGACGCCGCTCAAGTAGGTGGGCAATTCGGTTTGCATAGTGGTCAGTCCCCAGCTGTCAGCACATCGAGCGCAGAGTAGTGCATAGACTGGGGCGGATGTGAAAATGCCCTTCCAAGGAATCTCCATTTTCTTCGGTTCCTTTCTTTCCGATCGCTGGATGTCGTGCACAATATACGATTTCTCCGCCTCGCGAATGAACCTGGCCTCACTGGCCTTATTTGCTCCGAGGAGGATCCAGAGTACGCACCACACTATGCCCAAGCCGGCTGCCGAGTAACTAATGCCAGGCCATCCCAGCGAAGAACTTGCAATCATGCCTGCTCCATACATGGCCAAAACATTACCACAATCAAAGCCCGTATAGGCAAATGCTCCTAGACGCGTTCGCTCCGCCGTTGGGCACCAGTTGGCTAAATGCTGGTGGATGCAGGGCCAGGTCACCTGGCAAAGACCCTGCAGTAAGCGAATCGCGCAGTAAGCCTTCCAACCGGCAACATAAACTCCATAGGTTGTAAGGGCACTGAGCAATGATGATCCCAGAGTGCCCCAGAAGAGAACAGCCTTGGATCCAAAGCGCTTGCATAGATAGCCGGCTGGGAACTGGGCCAGAGCACAGCCCCAGTAATAGCTAGACAGGATGTACGACTTTTTTTCCTCAGTCCAGTTGTAGTGCTAAAAGGGTTGGAAGGGAAACATATTAGCTCGGTGCTTATCTCTGCCTTTTCGCTTACCCACTGGCGGGTCGGTATCGTTCGATGTGGTTCCATTGGTCATCGCCACCACAGCAACGCTTACATTTAGCTGCAATACTGTGTTGGCAGCCAGTCCGAGAAAGAGAAGACCCGCTTGCACGTGGCGCAGCCCAAAGCGTGGCACTTTTTAAATAAAAATAAGATTAGTAAAATAGTAAAGATTTAATTTAGTTTTACCTTTCTCAGGCACTTCCTCCATGTCAGCCATTATCTTAATTTCAAGTAATGTTGATTTTTGGTTCATAGACAGCCTCTGCAATGTAGTAAAGGAGACCATTAATATTACAAATAAAGCAAAATAAAACAAAATGTAAATGTAATTTACAATAGGAAGAAGAATGGCAACCCAATGGATAGATTTCTAAATAATAATAAGACTGTCTTACAAACTAAGAAAATCAAAACAACTCTTCTTAGTACATTATATTTAAATCATATATATATAATAAAGTCAAATAAGCCAAAATTGTATACAACTATACGTATACATTTGCAAAGTCAGGCGGTTTATGTGGTTGAAGCTTACTTCCACACGAATTTTAAATGGAAGAACACAAATTATTAAATTAATGTAAAGCCCACCGAATTTAAGAGTGCTTTGCACTTAATTCCGACCATGCTCGCTATTTGACCAATTGAAACCATAAAGGAGCTGCCGATATGGATACGGTTGCATTTTGTCTGGGAGAAGGCAAACTTCACACTCAGCACTCACCGCCTTGGACGGATATCGTCTCGATGAAATTATCTTGTTTGTTATTTTAGATATTTTTCGGGCTTTTTATTTTCTAATATTTTCTGTCTGCGATCATCTTGTCTGGCACCCTTTCTGAACTCGAGTTTCGTTTCAAGATGGTGTGCAAATTCACCCGATATTACTCAAAAAATGATATAAACAAATAAAAACGAAAAGCTGAACTGAAGTCTTGGCATTTACAATTGTATCACCGCAGCTAAAAAGATACTTTTCCGTACCACACAGATACATTTCCACAAGCTTTTTCAATTGTTCTAATAGTTGGCAACGTGTGGACGCTTGCCAATCATCGAATGTTGGGTGGTTGGCTGCCTGCATGAGGTGGGTGGTGGTGTCGTCCACCCATAATACGCTTAAAATAAAAACAGTGACATAGTTGGTAGCCTGCACGAAGTGTGTCGAACATTGAATAGCCTGTACCATGTAACGCCCACATATATTCGAGTTAAGATTTTAGATGCTCTTCACGATATTTTGCTTAAAGTGTATTAAAATTAAGCTGCGTACAATGAATTTTTGTGTATCTTGCAATCTTATTTAACTCTCTTAATAAATGATGACCAGTAACTGTTGATGACATCAATTCTGTGGTATACATTTGAACAGAGAAAACAAAAATAATGGGGTTATATTTATTTCTGCTTTATATCTATAGCCTATATTTTGCTTTTAAACATAGACAATTTTTAATATAATATGTAGTTATTTTAACGACATTCACATTGTTTGGTGTACGGTCGACTTCCAGCAAAAATATAAATTAAGCTTCTGTTGAACACACTTCCAAAAGCATATATTCAAGAGACAATGGTTTCAAATTCTAATTTTAAAACAACGAATGGAATATAGATATATTTATATGTATTTAATTATATTCTGACAAAAACAAAATTTTATTATCATAGCCACGTGATAGTGATAAAATAAAAATAAAATACAGTATATAATTCTATTTGGATACGAATGCGTTCGCAAATGAAAAACATATTTATAAATTATACTTTTTAGGTCACTGCTACTATTAAGTCAACGTTCATTGAACTACAACGTTGTAGTTTTTCTTTGAAAAATACAAACACGTGTTCGGCTAAGCCGACTTCCTGGGTAATACACCGGTCTTTTCGTAAGCAATATTTTGTTGATACGCCTGATAAACAGAAATACGATATTCCCATCGGTCTAATGTGTAACCGGTAAAAGAGAAGAAACGACCAACTCGATGCGTTTGGTGTCCTCGAGAGCGAATTTAGATTTGTATATTCTTTTGATCCCATTTTGCAAATATTTGCATTCGCAAATGTTTTGTGAGCATTTTTGTTGAAAACGAGCAAATGGCTTGAAGCCCGATAACCTTCACCCCCTTCAAACGGTGGCATTTTCTTTAGGTCGGCTTCTCCCATTTTCTCTGAATATATCAAAATAAAATCCACAAGCACTTCACATATTACAGACGGGTTTCATTGATTTTAAATCAAACACATATTTATGCAACAACTCATTCGCGGGAATTTACACGATATTACGATATCCGACCACATTGTTGCACTCGCTATAAATAAGTGAAAATTCACTTGTTAGCCGAACCCTTTTATTGTTGTGTACTTTGATTTTTCTATTAATATCCGATTTTTAATTGGGTTTTGTTTTGCTATGTTGTCCGACCCGTTTTCCGCGTGCCGCGTGCTGTTGGCGCTTTTGTTTCGGTTTCTGTTTCTATTTGAATTCTATACTTGTGCGATCGTAGGTGCTTAGCTCCAACGCCGAACTGCTCCCGCTGGCGATTGCCGCTCGCTCTATTCGTGTGGCTGCTTTTGTAATTGCTCGACGCCAGTGCCGGCAGAGTGAGAGCTATCGCACATGGAAAGAGCAGGCCCTCGGGTTCTTTTGCGGCAGGTAGCAGCACATGCTGCTTTTCGTCGTTCTTGCTCCAAAATATTAGAGAACTCGTCGCCATAACTTAAAATAAATTGATTACATGAAGAGGTATGTGGGCTCTAAAGAAGTTTCTTTTGCGAGATATGTACATATATAAAACTATATATGTATGACTATTTTCGTAGTCTATATCTGAAGAGCTCTATGTGGAACCCCATTACCTTATCTAAGGATTTCACTGTGGAATATTTGTACAATAATTAAAAATCGATAAGTAGAGGTATAGCTTAAAAACAACTACAAAAGGCATGGACTTTATAGGAGAGTTTCGGACATGGATAGCTCACCTTGGCTAGTGATCCTGATCACGAATATACATACACGAATGTACCTTCCTTAATACGTTACATATATACATATATATATATATATAGGGTTAAAATCAGATACAATTTATTTGTAAACCATTTTCTTATCTAAATGGAAAATGTTTACTTATAGATTTTCAAGAAGCTCGTTGATTTTTTGCGTTCGATTGAAGACTTTAATACCATTCTGGTTATTTGCCACATGAACTTACATCGATTTATAATTGTCAAACCTTTACATGTCGAAAAGAGAGAATAAATATACATAAATAATCTCTGCAATTCCAAGTCGAAGAGAGTGATTTTGGGTGGAAGGCTCAATATTTCAGAAAGATATTAAAAACTCCCCAAGCTCGCGATTTATAGAGAGATTTTCACTCGCAATGTAACTTTCAGTTTTTTATAATCTCAGGTATGGGATTAGGAAATAAATTACACTGTAAGTATATAAAGCACTTAATAAAACCCTATTAATTAAATGTTTCTTTTAAGATCTTTAGATTAAGTTGTTCTGAATGAAAAGAATTAACAGTGCGAACACATCATTTCAAAATAACAGGGCGCCAAATAAGCGGTTAACAGTCAACGATCGGTAATCTTGTAAATATAGAAATAAAGAACTAACGCCAGAGAAAATGTTACTAACCGATGTATCGATTGCCCCACCGGGAAATGTTACGATATTACCCTTTACTAACAGGTACAGGGGCGATATACAGCATATGAACATGTATGTTAGAACGATGTACTTTAACATTTCTGTTAAAAAATTGTATCCAAACATTTTCATCGCAACTAAGGCGCCAATGCGGACGATTAGGAAGGGTCTAGGTTAGCGATGTATCGATTGCACTAGCGATATCGATTTTTCCTCACCTCTAGCTACTACTCGATCCATCGGAAACATTTTTTTTAAACATTTGATCGTAGCGGTAAAAAGTGCAGTCAGAAATTGAATTAAAATGCAATAAAAATGCAAATGCTGGCAGAACATTAATTGGAATTAAATAATTAATCGGCGATCAACAGATTTGCCTTCGCGTGAGTGCTATTCTCTGAAAGCTAAATGGCAATTTTTCTGCCCGAATCATCTACGAATGAGAGCGAAAAGGAGGTGCACAAAGCTCTTGCCGCCAAACGCGCAGCTGACGAATTCGTGGGAATAAACGTGCGCAATTATCGCCGGATATAGTACGATTTGCGTTTTAAGTCTCTGGAAATTGATGTGTCAGCTGTTCGCCCAGTTTTAATTTTACATTCGTTTACTACCTTTTGTGCTACGATTCGGTCCCGTTCCGTTAGTTTAAGCGTTTCAAGTCCTTTGTTCCTTGTGCCGTGGCGGTGCGGTTTGCTGCTTTTCCATCCGGTGGCCCAGCTTGGTGGTGCGATCACCTGGTCGGCGGATAAACCGAAAGTCGGTAGATTCCGCTGGTGGGTCCAGCAGAAAGAAAATCAAAATCACGTGGATCTTCTTTGTGTGTTATTTGCGCGACCTCTCAATTGCAGAGAATTATTCGCAATACAGTGGTCGCTCGCAAAGTGAATCAAATTGGCTAATTCATTTACAGTTATTATAATTATAATTGGAGTGTTAAAGCGGCATATCGAAAGTTCCATACCAGCTGTGATCAACTAATTGAAAATAACTCAAATGAGATAGAAAATTATATATGGAAATCGTAGAAAGCTTTAACGAAAAGTGTGAAAAAATAGTAAGAAGTGTACAATCAGGAATTGTTAATGTTACAAAAAATAGATTTTTAAATATTACAGAATTAAGTTAATTGCTTTCTAGGATTTCTATTTAACACCTGTCTTCCATTTTAAATTATATATATACGTAAACGTTAAAAAGTTTAAAAATATTCATCATTATAATGATCCTTTAATCGCGAATTTGCATGCCGCGAGTGTTTAAAATGAATATGCCAAGAATATAAACCGTGTGTGTTAATTTTTCCAGTGCCCCTGCCAGGCGTTTCAGAAACCAGTCTAAATTATCTAAGTGTGCAAAACAAACTTAATTTTTTAGTTTTGCCAAAATCATAAATTTTACATTGGATTAAAAATTAAACGGAAACATTAAAAACTCAAGAGAGCAAGTTACTGCATCGTTCTCACTGACTTGTAAGTCGCCAATAATACCTATTACTTTATCCATCTTTGTATATTAATACATTATTTCCATTACCACTACACTCTTGCCTCCACCTCGCTTTCTCACTTGCACATATTGTCTTAAACTTTTGCTGTTTTGTCCCCATCCCAGTTTGTCTTTATAGCGGTTGCTGGCCCAGGACTATAAATATAATATATGATATTTTTTAACTGCGAAATCTATTCAACTTTTTTAATGCCTATGGTATACTGATTTAATCTCCATCTGTTCCAAGGATTAGGAGCATAAACACATATTTGTTTCAGTAGGTTTTAAAAGAATAGAATTCTGTATATCCAAATGTAATTTTAGTAATTTGTGTAACAGCGATCCCCTTTTAACTTATTCGGGTCTCCTGTTATGGCCACTTAATCGTACACCTGACTTTGACTTTGCCACATGGTGGCGGTGGCTTTTCACCTTGTTGCTCTTGGCAAACTAGGAAGAGGGCTCCTGATGTATGCCGTAAAGTGCGTACAACTTGTGAAAACTGACATATTTTGGAAGTTTAATTTTTTATAATACACATATATTGTGATTTAATATGTTTGGATTTTCTTTAATTGATCATTTTGTTTACAATCATTTTGTAAACAGGTAATTAGTCCTAGCCTCGACTAGCCGTCGTTTTATACCAACCACTCAATTGCACTCGAATAGCACTCTGCGTGTCGGGTTCGTTTTGAAATAAAAGTTAAGGTGAACATACACATAGATCCAATAACCAGTGTCGTACAACTAGCGCCGTTATTTTAGACACAAACGACTCATTTAAAAAGTGTTTGGACAGGGGAGTGATGGTGGTAGGGTGTTAAGGGGAAGTGCATGGTGACGCGACGCCAAGGCGAGCGCAATTTGCAAACAAAAAGCCATTAAAATATCAAATTAGCGTCTGGCTTTGGCTACGAGTGCGGGATTTACTGGAAGTCTCCAATTGTCGTCAACGTCAGTCGTCTCTCCTTCCCTCCCGTCCTCCCTCCGCCCTTTTTCCTTCATTCACATTTATTTGTGCTGTTCCACCGTATTGTGCAAAATCGAAAGTAAATGAAATGTAGCACCCGCATGTGTTGCGTTCAGTCATCAATTTGTTGATTAACAGTTGTCAGTCCCACTCTCTCCTCTACTCCTCTTCCAACCATTGCGCTCCCTTAAATTCTTCTAAGTTTGATAAAAGTCGCGTGTGCTTAAGTAACTGACAGAAAAGTTCTTTAAAGAATTAGGGTTCTCATATGTTTAACCTTGATCAAATAAGAATAGTGATGTCATCTAGAGGTCTATTGCAGACGCTTTATTTTTAACTTTAACGGGACAGTTGGGGTTCTGTATTCTCATATGCAAATAAGTAAGTTTCATACTCCTACAAATCTTAATGAAATGAATTTTGCCTGCCATTTTTGTTGTGTGCTTAGTAGTTAGTTTTTTTTTCGTTAGTTTCGCTTATCAGGCTTACAAAAATTTGTTTTTTGCCGAACACGAAAGTCTCGTTTGTGGTTTCTAGATAACTGAATTTACACGCCGCATTGAAATTCATTTGTTTCACTGGCAAGGCTGAATGCGTGCCGCAATAAAAAGCAATTAATACCAAAACAAAACAGAAAGCTGAAACACGTTTTACCTGTATGGCAATTCAAACTGAGTCACTGGGTTGAAAGAACTTCGCTGGGGATGAAGCGAGTACAAGATGGTTACTTTAAATATACAAAACAGCCGAGAAACAGCAAACAGCCAAGTAATCAAATCATCAAGGGGAAATTTATGACGGTCACACAGACCCCTTGCAAACTCTGCTGAGAATAAAGCCGTACTGGAAGCTATCTCGATCAATGGATTTGATCGTTCTGACTGAGAGAGGCGTCTCCAAATTTGGGAGCCTGCCGTCTCTCTTTCGCCCATGCGTAAAGTTCTGGGGCCACGCTTGCGCGTTTGCCCTCGGTTTTCGTTTCATTTTTGGTCTTGGGCTTGTGTTGCTGTACACGTACCCTTCCCTACTCGTATTTATACCCAAACGCGTTTCATAAATTATCAAGTTGAATGCCCAGTTTCGAAATTTCGACGGGCCTGACCTTGAGCACCATTTTTTCGGAGCTCGCTCTCGTGTTTTAAGTGTCTGTGTTTGTATCTGCACTCAAATGATTGGAATACCCCGGGTTTGAAGAGAGTGTACTGGACTGGAACTGCATATATTAGGCCTTTAATCATATATTCAATCTTAACTGCTCTTAAGTATTGTAATTTAATCAATGAAAGTTTCTTATTAGTGAGTGATGTCAAAGTTACCCGACAACTATTTTACAACATTTTTATAATTCAAGTTGGCCAACAGTATTGATTAACCAAATGTCTAGTTTACCAAAAGATTAACCATAAAAGATTTTTCTTGCTGGGTATCAAAAAGTCCAAAGTTCTGATATTTTTGTTCTCTTTGTTAGTTC